AAACCGTGTTTTTTTTAATCGGTTTTTCTGTAACGTAAATGGGCCTACTTTCAACAACACGATAATTAAGTTCCCTCATCATTTGAAGCCCATTGTAGGACAGGAAATACATCACTGACACATTTCAATTATCTCAAAAAGCTAGTTTCAACTGCTTTTCTCTGTTAAAAACAGTAGGCTTAGATGAATGTCTTCTCTGAAAATCATATAATTCATTATAAATGTCATTCTGCTTGAACTATCATTTTTCTGGCCTAACTTCTCGGCCTTTACAGCATGAGACGGAGCATGATGAGTTTCTGAGTTTACATTATAATGTAACGTCCTAGTCTTCTTCACATTGCATTAACAACTAATGGTTCCTATCCTTAATACTTGCATAGCAATCATACAATCCTTCTCTATTGAATCCGTTCTCTAATCTAAACCCCAAATCATAGCGGCCTTCACTGATTGATAAAAGTGCTTTTTAATCAAGACAAGAGCATTTTTGCCCATGACCTCCCAGGCTCACACCTCGATCATCATCCAATATTAGTATGGATGGTTGTAAAGCACAGGGGCACATTGAATTTGAAGGTAATTTCGAGTTCTAGTAATTGAACTGCACTTTGTATGGCTATTTGGCTTGTATTATCTACATTTACTAATGTATGAAACAAAAACCTTGAATACATAGGTTTAAACTTTGAACCAATGAATTAATCAAACTTAGGAAAACTTGCTCAAAGCAGAACAAGCAAAAAATGCACATTGTGTTGAAGACCTAGGAGATATGTCCCCACATTTTTTCACTTTTTTTATACACAAAAAAATACAACACTTCTTGTTATCAAAGTCATGAAGCAAAAACTCAATTTTTTGTGCTCGAAAGATAAACTTTAATTTAACTCTCTTCACAACAAATCTTCATTCATTACTCACTCCTAGTTAATGAATCAGTCAGTTCTTTAGGAGAAATTCATTTTGATTTGTCTACCCCTTGATTATATCCTGTTAAAAATATGCCACACATATCTCTGGAAGGTGAGGGAGGAGGAGAGAGGGGAGGAGGAGAGAGGTAGGGGGAGAGAGAGAGGGAGAGGGAGAGGGAGGGAGAGAGGAGGGGAGAGAGGGAGGGGAGAGAGGGAGGGGGAGAGAGGGAGGGGGAGGAGAGAGGGAGGGGAGAGAGGGAGGGGAGAGAGGGAGGGGGAGAGAGGGAGAGAGGGAGGGGGAGAGAGGGAGAGAGGGAGGGGGAAGAGAGAGGGAGGGGGAGAGAGGGAGGGGAGAGAGGGAGGGGGAGAGAGGGAGAGAGGGAGGGGGAGAGAGGGAGAGAGGGAGGGGGAGAGAGGGAGGGGGAGAGGGAGGGGGAAGAGAGAGGGAGGAGGAGAGAGGGAGGGGGAGAGAGGGAGAAAGAGTGGAGAGAGCAAGGGAGAGAGAGAAGCACATAGACTGAGGGAGAGACAGAAGGAAAGACAGAGAGAGAGAGAGAGAGAGGAAGAGATAGAAACAGAGAGAGAGGAAGAGATAGAAACAGAGAGAGAAAGAGAGAAAAATGGTACAGAGAGAGAGAGAGAGAGAGAGAGAAAGGGAGATAGAGAGGGAAATAGAAAGGGAGGGAGATACACAGAGAGGAGAGTGGAGAACTAGTATCCATGGTATCTGGGAATTCAGATCACGCTTCCATCAAGTACTCTAGTGCTCCATAGAAAACACTGGGGATGACATTTAGACCATACCTGCTACAACCTTGGACTCTAATGTAGTACAAAATTCACAAAATTATGAATTATAGTCGTTTCCTACGCACATAAAGGACTGAAAACATGGATGGATTTTCCCTTTTCATTCTTTCTCTTTTGCTACAATCGGTATGGTTGTCAGAGTTAATTCAATAAGGAGTCAACGTAACTGGTCACTCTTTAATCGAGGGCTCTTTTTTTTCTCCAAGCATAATACATAAGGAATGATTCTGCTGAGGATTTTGATTGACAGTGCTTGTTTTCCCTATACAAAAAAAAATATAACCTCCTTCTTAATAATCCTTCTTCTACCAAAATATTTCTCAAAAATGTTGGGGGAAATGTCAGTTGTTATGATTTCTTGGTAGAGAAACATATGTCATGATTTTTTTACACGGTTTGACCTAAATTCATGTCCTCCAGAAAAAAAGAACTTCATGATGGAATGTGACATTCTAACATTTACCAAGGCTTCCTTGAGGCATTGATTTTCTTGTAACAAAAGTCTTCAACTATGCTTCCTGGCTAAAATTCTAGATTTATTTTTTGCTGTTCAATGTGAACATTTGAGAATTTGAATTTGATTATGTCAGGTTATTCATTTATATATGTGACACATGGTATAATGTGAATTTTCAACTGATTCTCGATCGACTTGAACAGATACTAAACTATAGAAGGATGACCCCCTTGCTGTAGTAAACAGAGGTACTAACATGATCACAATGACTTTAGAAAATATCAAGATTAGACAAGTTCATTGGCCTTGTCCATCACCGTTTGAAATGTGCAAACATTACAATGATGTGGTACAAAATAAGAACATGATTTTGATGGATAAAAAATGGAATGGTTGTTTTTCCGAAAGCCTTTGCGATCACATTTTTTTCTTCCTATTTGGTATTTATACATATTGTAAAGAGCTAGCCATATAAAATTGCCTGACTGACAAGGGGTCGGTTCTGCACATTAGTGACTAGAGTCATCAGCATTGGTGTCTGACTTGTCACCATCACCAGCTGGTCCTGGCTCCAGAAACCACCCAGGATTTTAAACAAGAACACAGATATACATCCAATCTCCTGCTTCATAAGACTGTCAATGACCTTGACTCGAAGTCTCTGATGTGCTTTCAATGTGATTTCCACATTGCTTCACACCTAGCAATCCTACAGGAATGTGCTGGATGTGGTTAGTTTCCAGGGACAGACCCTTGTCATTCATAATATGTAATGTAGTGTCTGAACTGCAAGACTAAGCAGAGTTCATGGTCTACTGCAGTCCATAGGCCCTGTACTAGAGCCACTTCTGACACAGCCAGAGACTGCCAAAGCTAGGCTCAGATTAAGGCTTCGTGGGGTGGTGTATAAGTGACAAACTAGAGTCTGTACAAGCAGACTAGGCTTTGGTAGACAATAGAGAAGGTGTTTACATAGAATGTGGCTGTGTGGGAGTAGGTATAATTGATGATCAGTCAGCCACACATATGCTCCAAACAGGGAGGATCATGAAAGAAGTAATCTTATGAAGATGTTAAAGGGTTGCTTGATCGACCGTGCAGTCAATAACTTTAGATTACCTCCATCAAGAGGCTATGTGAAGAAGCTCAAGTACATACTTACAGTGTTGTAACAAAAAATGTTGAGAATTGCAGGGAAGTTCTTTTTTCCTGTATGATGGTACCACGTTAATCATGTCATTGAAGTTATTCTTTTCAGGAACGCAACCCCAATATAAAACTTGGTAAACTTTGGTCGACTGGTCTACAGATGAGAACAGTAATTTGACCAAATGCATATCAATCTTGAAGCAAGTGCAATCAAATATTAACTTGTTATTAAATATTGGATAGTTTAGATTGTTGAGCAGTCCGTGACGTGATACCCAATTCGTCAGTTTCCTACAGCTGAGGATAAATCTACACATTTCACCACTCTAATTACTAAATTAATTGATTATTATCTAAGTCCGCTGAGAGTTGATGGGCTTCACTTTTGGTAGCATGAATGCCCTTCTAGCTCTCCCAGCTGAAACATTGCTAGAATAGGAAAAGAGGGGTTCTAACTAGACAAGCAATTATCCAGGACTTAAAAAAGGGTCTCTTTAAAGATTTCGGCACAATAATTGGTACCGAGACTGAGTGATTGTGAAGTAAAGAGATGGCAAAGGGATCTGTTTGTAGAGCAAACAACGATGAAGGTATGCAGACATGTTTCAATGTTTGTCCTGATTAACTAGAACATGAATGATAGCAAATTCACTGATGATGGATGGGTAGGAGATTCATCATTCTCAAACACAAGAGGAAATGTTTCAAAAACATTGGATGCAGGGGAGGGGGCATGAGAATTGAGACAGAAGACAGGTGGAGTACACAGATGAGCCGAATTTCGAGAAGGGCTGGTGGAGGGGGGGGGGGGTGTAGAAAGATGAGCTGATCTAGATCATACAGGTCATATCTAATCTCCACTAAACCCTTCATCAAAAAGAGGAGTAAACACTCAATTAGATCACTAACATCAGAATGAGGGCAAGTGAGAAGGAGGGCGGACAGGGCATGTAGGTAAGGACAATAGAGGCAAGAGCCAGGGGAGTATCACAAGTCTTCTACACGCACCTGTAAAGGTGTCAGGAGAAGAAAACGTGTCTGTAGTTGGCAGCTGAGCTGGGATGATCTAAATAAATATCCTTAACATTCAGCGGGAGGCGGCCATCTTGAAAGTGAAAATTCCCATCCTGCTATTACCTCAGATCACGTACAATATGTAAAGCGGCAGAAAAAAAGTTGGAATTGTGATTTTCAGAACTCTATCGTTGCGCATCCAGACAGATTTTGCTAGATTGAACACATCACGTCCTTAAGAGGTGATAAGAAATTTGCCCTGGCAACAATTGCTCTGAGCCTTATTTCATTGAAGCTGAAGGAAAAGGGCTACGGTTTTTACTGGGTCTTTGGATAGGTTAAGTTTTGGATTAATAGTAGGTATACTGTTAGTGATGGGTTCAGGGTTGAAGCAGGAATTCTGTTACTGTAAGAGCTGGTCGTGCTGCAATTGTCACAGGAGCATACCTCGTACAACCAAGATATGGCATTGTAGGATTGCAACTGGGTTTTAGTTTATATTTAGTGTCAGGTCCAGATTTTCATGTAAGAATTGGGTTCTTCTTCTGTTGAGGTACAGGCCACCATGGTGTTGGTGTATCCTCGTACTAACTTACTAACTTTGGGTTAATGCCCTGAGGACATGTCAAATAATTGCTCAAAGATGTGTTTCTTACCTTCAAGAGAAGCTCATATCTTGGTATTCTCTGGATAGGTTGGATAATCAGATCACTCAGACTCAACTTCTCCTTGTTCTCCTTGGCTCTTTCCTGAAACAATCAGAATGTGAGATGAAAAATTATCCAAATGAAAAATAAAAAGGGAGGAATTATACATCTTGCTTACTTGGGGCCTCTTATTCTGAAATTTATTTGGTGAGGTTACCACAAAGAAAAAGAAGTAACATACAAATTTGACATATATCAAGACATTTTCATATGTAAACATCTTGAATATATTATTGATAGAAGAAGATAATTTAGAAAGACTGAATACCCAAAACTGAATACATGATATTTGTATTGTTTGAGAAAAAATCTTGTGTTTAAAGTTTATAAGCAAATTGGATCTATGATCTTGTAAATATATCGTTGTTTGGGCTTGAACAGTAAAACTGATCATTATAAGAGAAATATAATTGAAGTGTTTAAACTATGACTACATTAATTGAATAATTTCTATCATAGAAGCTACTCTTCAACCATCAAAAGTTAATCTTGCTACAACTGTAAGCAGCTGAAGAAAACTTATATCCTGCAACAAATACTGTTGCCCATTTTACACATTAAACATGCTATATACATCCAACTAGATTTAACACAATATGCATTTTCATAGACCCCAGCACAAGGTCTGCCGACTTGGTATTCACAGGGTTAAGTACATATTTCATGTTTTCTATGCTTTCACTTCACTGGCCCTAACACTTTCTGATAGTTCTGGTCCAGTTCTCCATTTCATTTTCCTGTTGGATTAGACCTAATACCCCGATCAATGGCTGGGGTGCTATCCTAAGAATGTTGAATGCTTTAAGACAAGGATCTAGGAATTCACATCCGTCCATACTTGTTAAATCCTCCCCAGTCACCTCTATGAACCTCCGTTTCACTCTCAGACTCAGAGATGAAGACAAGTATTATTTTGATCAACAATCTTTACCTCTTCCATGCACTCTTCAGATTGACAACGCAATGATTGAAGTGATAAACATTGCAAGCATTCACACTCCAAACAGAGCGACTCCCTCAGAATGGGATTACGCCCAATTTGAAGTGATACCGGAAAATACTTCCAACAACTTTTTAAAACCTAATTTTACCTAACGATTCATGAGTATCCCAATGAAAACTGAAGATGGACCATGACTTTAAACATCAAAATTTAATTCTTAGTCTTGAAGCTATATTATGATTGCTGATAACTAAATGCAAATATTCCATCTTCTTGGATCCACCACAAGAGCAAGCTCAAATACTTTTACATAAAAGAACAAACTTTTAGTTCCAAGATAATGATATCTAAGTTCTAGTCAAATTAATATATTTTATGTACACTTGAGATGGCAATATTTAGATTTATTAGCACAGGTGAATCATTCTTTTTCACAATTATTTGGTGAGACGGAAGGGTACCGGAAGTCTAAAGAATAATGACAAATACACCACATCTCAAACAAATCTTTCAAAACTTTAAAACTTTTTCACAAGAGTTTCTACTCCTGCTGAAGTAAAGCAATCACAGGAAGAGAAGGACAGGTTATAACCTCCAGTATGAATGCAATACTAAAGGAATCCCTCTGCTGTGACATCAAAAAGAGAATTCCAATGTCTACATTTGAATGCGAGGACGACGGTGGTGTGAGCGGACATGCCTCTCTTAAAATATTTTCCAAAAGTGTCAACTGTAAACAAGTGCCTAGCCTCAAGGTGCTAATATTTGACAACTTTTTTCTCTCTCCTTTCTATTTCCTCCTCTTTGGACAGACAATCTTACTTCAAATGTCCATGATTGTGATAGGCATGTTTCATGATCAGCACTGACAAAGACTGCTTGAGTAAATATATCAGCACGGAAATAAATTTCATCTCAGTAATATTTTGTGCAAATTAGACAACACATAGGCGAGGTGATCAGCACGAACTATATATAAGGTAGTCAGTGTCTGTGTTTGGATGCACACACATGGCAAGGTCAAGATAAGTTCACAGTTATATGCCCTACATTGGTCTAACAGAGTATGAAATCATTATATAATTGTTTCCTATATTGAAATCATTTAAATACCATAAGATTAACCCAAAGCATGTTTATGGGCAAGCCCAATGCATTTGATCACTTTGTGTTCCAGACATTTCCCAGTAAAGTCAAATAATGATCATTATCAACATTCAAAGTATCATTATCCTTTTTTTTTTAAATCCTTACCTCAAGAAATTTTGCAAAAGCTGGTTTAGTAGTTGCCTTGCTGATGAGGTTCTTCGCTTTGTTGAAGTTGTTGGTGAATTCTGAGTAGGTGTCCAAGATTGGCTGCTGAGCAAACTGAAATGAAAGGAGGAAGAAAATAAAGTCATGTTATTTCATCTTTGTCAAACGATATTAAAAATGTCTTTGAGTTTTAGTCAATCATCCTTCTACTTAGCAATAATACAAAGCTGCTGAATCAATGTCCTAGTTATATTTTTCGACTTGAATTTCATGGATATTCTAAAAGGGAATGGGAGAGATCTTTAAAACCAGTTGTAAATATATATACCGGTACATCAACAAATCATCTACTGAGCATGTAACATCAGCAAATAAAACACTCATAGAGAGCTCTTTCAATAGTCAAACATAATAAAAGGATGATCTATTGGTGGAAGTGTGCTGTCACTACAATGATACATGAGTAAATATTCAGGTTGGTGTTCAATATTGAAAAGTTAACTGAATTGAATCAATTTCCTCTACAGAACATTTCACAATAGGATCACAGCTCCAAAATATCTTATTCATCTCAAATTCTTTCAAATCAGTGCAGATTACAAAGGTAGGCAAGGATTGGTACATTAGTGCATATTGATAAAGCAAGATCAAAGGCAGAAAGAGCACTGTTGTTTAATAGAAACACGTGAATTATGATCTTGGATATGAAATCATTGAATTATAGACTGTAAGCAGAGGATGAAAACCTAGTAGGTTAATCTCAATTAATGATGGACAATGACATTTATAATGTATCTTCAATAGCTCAATAACCATCATAACAATTAAAGAGGGCGTAACATGAACATTTCACAGTCGTACTTCTACTTCTGCATTATTCACCTTCATGAACCAAACATCTATTTGACTTGATTATCATCTGACATCAATATCGACCAACAGATGCAATCTGTTATGAATTGCTCAGTAAATTCTGATCACCTCCTTGATAACCGAGTTCAAAAATAAGATATCGTCTGTTTGAGCCAGAAGGGCGCTTACTAATATACTTTAACACAGCGTCAACATCCTTCTGGCTTTGACCAGATGATATACATTCAGAAATCACTAGAAATCATGTAGTAAAATTATAAAAACCATTGCACTACACGAGGCAGAGATGCAATACATTGGAGGGGGGACCACCAACAAGAGTTCTCTGTAGTGCTGTAAGTTCTGTTGAATAAACACTGATTAATAATTCTAATCACTACGACATACATGGCGGTGTGGAGGGACCCTTTGATGTTGGGATTCAAAGTGGTTGGTACACACACCACTTATCAAGAGATTGAGTAGAATCAGACTGACTTACACAAGGAACCAGTCTACCAAGTAGGGGCCTAAGATACTCAGATTGAGAGAACCAGGCATAAAGGAAGATGGACAAAGTGCTGAGATTTGACAGAATGATGTATACAAAGTCAAGCCACTGTGTCCTCCTCCTCTTCCAACCCAATGGCATCAGCTGAGAGCCAGGAGGGCATTAACTCTTATTATTTTACACATAGTTAGATGTATGCCCTTTTGGCATTCAGCACAGTATAGGTCGATACGCTCACTAATAAATTCCCATACATCAAGACAACTAGATAAAGGTCATAACTAATAACATACAGCACAAGATCATGATATCAAGTTATAAAAAAAACGATATACACACACAACGTATATATATTATACATGGATTATCTAAGTGATATATGGAAATTGATACATAATGTCTAGACAGTATAGATATTTGAAATTGGATTGTCTTATCATAGGAGAGGGTGGGGTCAATTCTCACAAATGCCCTGCCACAATGGCAAAACAACCCCCTCCCTCCACCCTCACCACCGCTCACTGATGATGGAAACAGATGAAAATGTCAAAAAGCAATGAAATGCCAACAAAAAGATGAAAATGTCAAAAAGGATCATGAGAGTAAGATAAGAAAAGAGAAATACACAAAGAGGGAGAGAGGAGGGAGGGAGAGAGAGAGAGAGAGAGACCGAGTAAGGGGGAGTAATTTATTAATTTTTAAGTTTGATTGGAATAGATAAAAGGCTCAAATGCAGATTGGTAATAAAGATATGAAAAGAAAAATGCTGATCATTTCTTTCCAGCACAGCACAACAAAAATCCTGTTTACAAACAAACTGACAACCCGTGATTAATTTGTAGGACCGTTCCCTTTGTGTCTGTGAAAACAGGGCCTTGGATGTACAGGTGTGAATAGCTAATTGTGTCTCATTACATGTCATTATCCCCAGATAACCATAATAATTACTCCTGGTTCACTGGTCAAGTATATACATGGACACTGGTCCACTACAATGACCATGGTCAATGAGAGATTGAGGGATTCACACAGTGACACAGAAGCTGCATTTACACTGCACGCAAAAACCGTCAGTTTTTCTCACATTCCTGAGTTTTGTCAGACGTTGCTAGGCAACTATCCTTAAACACCCACTCTTGGAGTGTCGTTTTTGAAATGCCTTTCGAAATTCCACCTGGTTTGGCAGTATAAATGCATGCGCTCAAAACACTAGTGAATGATTACGGTGTTTTAGTCACATAACTCTCTTATGCATGCAGGGCAACAACAATTGGGCACAACTCACACATTAAACAAAAACAGAATTATCAAATACAGATGGTTTCTTTGGGTTTTTTCAAGTACTTTTTGGGCAGTAAATAAAAAATTAAAAAATAATGTTTTTTCAAAATGTTTTTGGGCTGTGTAAATGGGCCTTATAAGAACACTGGTCCATTACAATGACCGTGGTCAAAGGGAGTTTGAAGGATTCACACAGTGACACAGACATGCAATCTTTGACTTCGAAATTAACTTTATTTTTTTTTAAGGCTCAGTGGGGATGCAATATCAAAATGACGCAATTAAAAGAATTAGAGACAAAAGGTCATTTGACTGCTCTAGGGTCGAGTAAAGCATCTACAGATATAGGAAACAGGCCGAGATTAGAATTTAAACCCCTCATAGGGTGCGTTTTTGCTTAAATTTTGACGGCAGAATGAGCGATTTGTAACGCTCATCGTAAACGCTCATCGTAATCGCAGTTCCACGGTGTACTGTTTATGCTCACTTCTCTGGCTCCTCCAGGCAATTCTCCCTGGGTGGCCCTAATTGGCATTTCAGCTGGATTCTCAAACCTGCACTGTGTATGCTACGTAGACCCACTAGAGGTCAGTGCGTTGACCCCATTTGAACGCGTTTACAAATTGTAAACGCATCTTTTTGTGAGTTTACGATCGGCGATCGTGATCGCCATTTTTCGGAGATTCTACAAAAGTGAGAAAGGACGCAACCGTGTTTTAAACTAAATGTGTAACAGATGCCTGATTCTGGCCAGAAAAAGTTAAGCATAAACACACCCATAGTCAAGTGAAAGCACCATTATACCATGAAGAAAAACCTTACGACCTACACAACTGTTTGGAATACTCCATATCTCTTGCTTACCTCCCTCAATACACATGGCCTATATCGTTCATTTGTGTACTGTAAAGAACAGGTTTTTCGTTGCGAGGACAAATAACAAACTAGTAAAGTTCATACCCATTACCAATGATTCATCAAACTACATCAGAAATCTTCTGTTGCATATTCAACATCACAAAATGTCCCTAATGGCTTCCATTTGACCCTGTTATTATATTGGAGAATCTTAATTCGTAAATGGGGGACTGATTCCCACAATATTACAAAAGCTTGTCTACACAACAAGCCCATGGTTAGTGTACATTGTCAATATGTACACAATCCCCAAGTCTGCTCAAACAGATGTAAACACTGCTTTTACCCCCTCTCTCTCCCTTTCTCTTCTCTCTCTCTCCCTTTTAATCTCTCTCTTCTCGCTCTCTCCCCTCTCTCTCCCTTTCTCTTCTCTCTCTCTCCCTTTTAATCTCTCTCTTCTCGCTCTCTCCCCTCTCTCTCCCTTTCTCTTCTCTCTCTCTCCCTTTTAATCTCTCTCTTCTCGCTCTCTCCCCCTCTCTCTCTCTCTTTCAATCTCTCTCTTTCTCTTTCTCTCCGTCTCTCCCCTTCCACCAATTAGTAGGGCAGTGACATTTCGTTCACTCTAACCCTCTAACCTTCTATCCTGGTTTTCAGACGATTATTATCCTCTGCTGCCTTTCATACAGAATAGAATCATAATTCCCACAAATGATCAATCTTGTGATCTACATAACAGACTTGGGTAAACAAACACAATGACTTTATAGATAGATCTGAAGTTCCCTAGATCGTTATCGCACTCAAAATAGAGTTCATTCTCCGTAACTGCGGCGACGAGATGGCTTCATCTATGTCATCATGATGGAGAACATAATTCATTCATATGGATTCTTTTCCTTTCAGATGTAAGGTCATATGGAATACTGGTAATTAATCTGATTTTCACAAGAAGCCGTCTTTCAAAAACGTGACTTTTGACCATGTAGAAAAGAACTATAAAATATCATGCAGGTTCGTTGGACCAGCAGAAAAAAGGAAAACAGTAAAAACCATACATGTAGATACATTGGAAGGCGACTGTGTGGATCAGGTTTTGTCTTTATGAAACCAATAAAATCGGATATACAACATTGTTAAACTTAATTGTGGATCATGTAATGATTTTTTATTTTAGTATAAATTTGCTGGGTTAAAAAGGAAAAAAAATCAATATAGTCCTCCTTTACACTGTATCTACTTCATGATATTCTGATCAACTGGCCTAACCCTTTCCCCATGGATACCAAAACTTTTTATCTAATATCATAATCATCCATACCTTATCCCACCCCTTCTCCTTAACTCTCCTTCAGTATGAGGTAATATCGCCTTCCCCTTCTCCCACTCTTCTTTGGGAACTATATTATGCCACCCCTCCCTTCCTCAAACTCATTACCAATGGGGTAATAATCGACCCCCCTCCCCCTTCCCCACAATCCTACAACACAAGGAAACATGACCACCCCTCCCCCTTCACCGTGAACTGTAGGAGATGCTTGTAAGGGGGCCACGCCCTCCCTTCCTCACCTCTCATTTCCAATGGTAATAATCACCCCCCCCCCCCCCTCTTCCCACACAATCCTATTACACAAGGAAACACGACCACCCCTCCGCCTTCACAACTTCACTGAACTTCATGAGATGCTTGTTAGGAGAACCACACCCTCTCTTCCTTACCTCTCATTTTATAGGTAAATCACCCCCCCCCCCCCTCCCTTCTCCTTTTTATTTCTGAGGCACTCCTTATGACTGGAAACATAACCTTCCTTCCTTCTTCAAGATGACCTTTAGGAGATGCTTGTTAAGGTGAATGGACAGAGGTCACGACCCCTGCTGATTCTCTCCTTGATGGTGACATGATAACCCCACACGGACTACCAACGCCATGTCCACTCCTCATCAAACTTTGTAAGAATAACACTTTCTTATTATTTCCACTTCTCTAACAATGGACTATGCTGATGCCACCACTTCCATTCCTCAATAACTTGCTAAAAATAACACGTCTTTATTATTTCCACTTCTCAAGCATGGTGCTATGTCCGTGGTCATGCGATGATGCGTTGACGATGGGGGCTCTAAATTTATGCAAACCCTGAACGATCGATACAAGGTTTCATCATATATGATACATAAGATCTATAAGAACAAGGTGCATGGATTTCAGCTTTAGTTCAGAGTGAGAATCAAAAGATTGCTTTGAATCATCCTGAAAATTTCAAATTATTTTAAATAATTAATTAGCATATTTCAGAAGGAAAAATGAGTGTCAGATTTCAAGGTATATAATTTGAGCAGTTAACATTTCTTGCTATCATCAAGATTCAGCATTTTTTGAGCATGCCACAACTCTACTATAATCTCTATTGATAATAGTACCGTACACAAAATTATATTAAAATGTGCATGTAGGCCTATATATATATACGAGGGGGCTTTGATGCAGGTTGAATACCAATACAGCGTCCTACACCGACCTCATCTAATTAAATGCACACCGAAAAGCATCATTGCACATCAAGCGAACCTCCCCCAGGCCAATGGCTCTTCTCACACATGCACCATAAAATGCTCAAGCACGCATGCCTTCACAGATGATGCGATCCTCCACCTCCACCTCCAGGTCTATATGGAAGGAGCAGCCAGCCTCCATCTCAATTCATCTAGAGAGTGGTTAACGAGGGTGCTACCCTCTTTCATCTCAAGGATCTCCCCCTTGTTAAATCAATCCAGGGGCGTCTCACTCTCACAAAGGTGTGCAATCATCTTCACTTGTCCATCACATCAATTCTATCTGGTGTAAACTCTATCTGGGATAGGGAAAGAGGGCCCAGTTATACGAAACAGCATATTTCTAAAATGCAGGGTTTTTTTGAGGGGGGGATGTGGTGCATCTTCAATTCAAAGGGCAATTCCCAATAAAAAATATTAAAAAATTAATATTATCATTTTTTGCAAAACTGAACTTTTCTTATATATTTGCTATATATTGCAGAAAAATTATCAAATGTAGCATCCTTCAAAGTCATGTACATGTAGATTTAGATGCAAATTATTCAACTGCTATTGTCTACAATTAAAGGGGAACATTAAGACATGGAGTGAAATGGTACTGCAAGAGTACACTGGGATGGCAGAAAACAGAGATGTGTGGGAAAATATTGCAATCAACCTGCCACCCTGGAGAAGATACCTTGAGAGATGGATTATCTATATTTATCTCGCATTCCTCGAAACTCATCTACAATTTACTTCCACAGCTCCACATTCCTTGATGAGTTAAAGATCTATCTGGGTAAGACCTTAATGAAGGTTACCATCCTCTTAAGAAAGAAAGGGAACCCTTAATTATTATCCCAGCATCTTCATCCTTCTGATCTGCTTTGGTGTGGACAGAAAGAAGATGGATGTGAGTGATTTTGGTCTTTTGGGATTACCAAATTCCCTTGAGCAGAGCTTATAGATCTATTTCAATACCTACAAGGTATATCCATATAATTATCAGCTATTAGTTTGAATACCTGTCTTTCAGGTGATCTAGTATTTGTAATTTATACATAATTTGTTTCCTTATAATTTATCTTGCCTTCTGTCTACTTTTCTCTTCCCCTAAATCCCCTTTTTTTATCTGTCAGATAATGAAGGGTATTACCAAAATGACGTTTAACAAAATAGGGTAAATATAAATCTTTAATATCTGTACCTCCATAAATATCATTAGCCAAAAGCATGTAACCTTCGTTTGGCACATAAAATAAAATACAAAAATATGAACATACATTTTTTGAGGTGGAAAATGTGACAATATCATCTGTGTGAAACGAGAAGGGCATTAACTATCCTGGATCCAAACAGAGGTTATAATTGAAAACTTGGAAAGTAGGGCAAAATCACAGATCAAGAATCACATGACTATCGAATAAAAGGAAATGAAGCCATAATCATAAGATGATAAGCCTGGAGAAAGTCAATACAACAGAAATGGATGGACTGCTATTCCACATCTATAAGCAAACATTTTCAACTGCTTTATGTCCTAATTACAGCTGCAAGTTTTCTGATAAAAAAGTAGGGACTCCCTCTATACTATGGCAGATTATACAAACCAATAAGAGCAGTTATCTACATGGATCGATTGAGATTTTATGTCATGATGTGAATTTGGGAGATGAATTTAAAACAGAAGACAGCTGCCTTTATTTACATTTCTGTGTTATTAATCGTTGGATATTGTAAAGTATGTTGCATCCTGAAACAAAGTCCGTAACAGGGTAACCTGTGCTTCAAAGGAACATCAATTTGACTGGGTTACATTTGGCTGGTGTAATGATGTCACTTATTTTCTAATGAATATTCATTAGGCTGAGTGATTTGAATACTTACAGACTGACTGATGATGTCACCGATCTTCTGTTCACTATGCCACCGTTTCATCCGATCCTCCAGTTGGTCCAGGAACTGTTGATGATTGAGAAGGATCTCTGGAATCTTGTAGAACATCACCTCCAGGGATGCTTGGTCACAGAGGCTGGAGTTGTCTGGGCTCTTCAGTGGTTGGAGATAACTCTGAAAAACACAAGATGAACACAATAACTGGTTACTATCTCCTAGGATGGGTAAGAAATCTGAATAAAGATGGTGGTACATAGAATGTTAAGCATACATGTATCTTTCAGCAAGGTTGGCCAGGATAATACATCCCCACGAGTGGACCAGCGAAAGTACAGGCACACATGGACTCGACTCAGGTAGGTGTAAATAGTCAAATTTGACTGAACGTCAAAAATACAACCAACAACAACATATCTCACGGTAAACACTATACTTGTGATATGAAACTTTTGCAAATTGTGTGAAAATGGCCTCCTGACAAAAGATGGTCAACAGGCCCCAACTTTATGTTACTAATACCTCTCTTTTCCTATCTCTTTCTATCTATCTATCTATTTATCTCTCTCTCTCTATCTCTCTATCCATCTCTCTGACACTGTCTCCCTGTCTCTCTCTCTCTTTCTATCTCTCTCTCTATCTTTCTCTCTCCATCTCTCTGACACTGTCTCCCTGTCTCTGTCTCGCTCTCTATTAGTGATTTTCTAGATTTCCCACAAATGATATTCAACAAACCTTTCCTGACAAGCGGTGAACCACAAATCACACTCGTGAAAAATTCATTGAATTAATCAGTTCTTTTTCTTCTTTTTTTCCATGTTGAATTTGTAGTCCAGTAAAAATCATAATCTGTAATGAATTTGTCTCCATCAATACTTCCATACTGGCATAAAAACTATTACAGAACTATGACCTAGAACTAAAATCGAGACTCCCTAATTGGTGCCCCTAATTAAATGGAAATGTGCAAGCCTGAGCGAAGATCATCTATAAGTAGCCCATATGAAAGATTTTTTCACTACGATGAAATGGTAGGAGAGGAAAAAAGAGCATGGTTGTCAGGTCTGATCGTAGGCTACCGGATCTGCAGCTGAATGTTGTCATAAACGTATGACCTTTAATGGAATCTAAGCTAATCTCATATTTGGTCACGAAAAGCTGTCTGATATTTGGATAAATCTCGCTCAGTTTCTCTGGAAGGAATCAAGCGAAGAAGAGAGACAGGAAGAAGGAGACATGAGGAAAGAAGGAATGAGATTAGACAAGATGAGGTTAGAGACAGGTGAAGAGATAGATGAGCAGATGGGAAAATGAAAAACATTTCATGATTGAACGAGAATAAGGAAGAGAGTAGTTAAATGTAAAAGTATCGGAGCATTTAGAGAGTTTATGAAGATTCTTGTCAATCCTTAGTATAAAAAATGAAGAAGAGATTTAGAAGAATTTTAGGAGATATTAGGGCTGCGACGTGTAGTCGAATGCTCGAGTACCCGCACGGTTGACAACTACTCGAGTACGATTTCTCGTATTCGGCCGCAAAAAACAAAAAAAAAAAAAAAAATCACTGTCCAGGTCGACGCTAACCCGTGCCAGGGAGAGCGGCAGTGGCCGCTGGCATGGTACCGTCGGTAAAAATGTTTACCAACTCAAGCACTGTCAAACTCACCACTCAGAAACTGGGACCAAATGGATTATTCTCCCATCTTTGTTTTTTAAAACAGCATTGTTTACTGTTATTATTATTATTAAATTGGCGCCTTCAACTGCAACTCGAAGTAAAATTGCATGCGTTTTCGGCGATGGACTTGGGATACTGCTCAAGTGGTATAGTAGTGGCAAAAAAAAAAAAATTATAAAAAAAACATGGCGTCCGAATATTCGAGTATTCGCTTGTAAGCCTGGGAGTGTACTCTGGTACCTCATTACACTGTTGTGCACAGCCTTAGCAGATATCATATTGACTAATATGTTGATCTGATAAAAAATATAAGTATATTTTCCTCAGAATCCTAAGAAAATGTACACTGAATGCTAAGATATGTAATCAAGCACATCTGCATCAAGAATTCTTAAGTAAATTCAAAATTGTAAAAGCTTAGTAATTAACAAGATATGAAAATAAAATGTAAAAGTAGTTGAGACATGGATGTTATGATAAATAATTCTTCTGTTAAATGACAACTATACATAAATACATACACTATTCACCAAATACATACACTATTCACCGAATACAGAGCAAAAAATATGCCATTATTTGATTGCTGAATTCCACTTGTCTTGAATACATAACCCCCTTCCTTTTGAGCCTTTAAATTATCATCCTTCATGCCACTCAATATACCTTGGTTCTTCATCTCCACACCCCAACCAACCACACTCTGCCCCATCTATTCATAATCATGTAAGACCCTCCTTGTTCTCATGTTATCTACCTTAGATGTAAAGATACTCAATATTAAATTACACCTGCCATGAAAATCAATTAAATTTAAACTGGTCTTCATTGTCACATCTCTAACCATTCAGGTATAAATTTCCCATCACAGTAAATTTAATCAAATTTGCATATAAATATATAATATAATATAGTATATATAATATGAAGTAAATAAATTGGAGACATAGAAAGTTGCATGATGCTTTAAAAGATATTGTTGAAGAAAACTTGTATTGCCTTTTAGAACCATTGAAAAAGTGATTAATTTTTTCCCCGCATACATTGTCTTTTACCACTTCAGATTAATGAGATTATAAATAGAAATTTGCTATGCAAATACATAAACAGTGTAAAAGATTTTGTGTGTGTTGAAATTAAGATTTCTTCAGACCAATTTCTGAAATTTCAATCCAACAGAGCTGACTTCTAGCTTTTCAGAGCTCTTTTAGGGATTTCCACATCTTCCCCACACATGGCTAGGTGTATTTTCTTATTCACAAAGTAGGAAGCACCAACGGAAAAAGGATTAGGCACAATAACAAAACACAGAGTTTCATTTTTATGTTTGCAGCTAGGTGTAGGTAGAAGAGTTAATGAGATGCCAGGGTCTCCAGTCTCTAGACTCAAGAGTGGAGCATTTCCTCCAAGAATCGAGTGAGGATGGAATAAACAAGAGAGAGAGAGAGAGAGAGAGAGAGAGAGAGAAAGAGAGAAAAAAAAAGAGAGAAAAGAGAGAGAGAGAAAGAGAGAGAGAGAGAGAAAAAAAAGAGAGAGAAAAAAAGAGAGAAAAAAGAGAGAGAGAGAAAGAGAGAAAGAGAGAGAGAGAGAGAGAGAGAGAGAGAGTATCAAAGAACTTGGAACCCTGCCTGGTTGAGGAGGCATGCTCAGCTATAAATAGATCCGTCTGGATTAATGTTACATTTGTTGACATTTGAAAATCAACATGGGAAAAAAACACAAGAGCTGTTCCACTTTAAAGGGTTATGCCATGAATATATTCATAGAGGAGAGAGAGAGACAGAGAGAGAGAGAGAGAGATTGAGAAAGCCTGGATAGCCGTCTTCACACAAGCCATGTAATGGTAAACCACCTCACTAAACCACTGCAGAAGATATAATAAGTAAAGCACAATGCGTTTCACATTTTAAATGACACAGATCTGTACCACATTCATGAGGCTACTGTTACTCATAGCTATAGCCCATTTGAATGATTTGCAAAAAGAATAGTAAGTCTTTGTGCACTAGAAAAAGAAAGGTGGAAGTAAATTAAATGGAGTACGTTATATTTTGAATGGTTTGCTAAAAGAAAAGTAAGTCTTTGTGCAGTATATAGAAAAGAAAGGTGGGAGTAAGATATCTTAGAACTTGACAAAAGATGCAATTTCATCAAAATCCTCTCCGACTTTGAACTGATTAACATTTGAATTTACAAGGCCCTGGAATAAAATACTCCTATTGTAATCAAGTCCACCCACCACGCCATTAGCTTAATGTATCATCTTCCTAATGCTTCTCTTTTCTTCTGCAAAAATAGGGATGATTTTTTTAAAATTACTATCTCTGATGTGGATTGTAGAGGAATAAGAAACACGTATTGCAGCTTAACCTTTCCACAGACCTTTCTGCAGCTGCTATACGGTGGTCTAAAGATGGGTACCCCGTGGGCATTCTATGTTTGCATTTAAAAGGTAAAGTGGGGGTCTGGGACGGGGGACATAACTACCAAATGGAATTTCTGATCATTTCCAAATCCACTGTATGCAGAAGTGTAGGTAAGAGTCTGAAATATGAGGAGAAATATTGATGTGTAGAATTATTTCAATATAATACCTGCGCATCAATTGCAAAATACTATGTTCATTTTTAGGCATTTTAGCGCAAATCTATATGTAAGTACATCTACACATAACACAATAGCAAAGACTGCTCAAGAAATCAACCTCATGCGATTTCAATTGCCTTGTCCATCACCTTTGGAAATGTGTTAACTTAATCAAATATGGAGTGGACTTTAAAAGATTATTATTATATTACGTAATCCAAACATTGATTTCTATGGGAAATAAAATGGGATACTGAAATCCCTCAAGTTCTATTTCTTGAAAATCTTTACAACCATATCACATAAAGGGTATTGCTTGACTCTGTAAAGATTTGATATACACAATACCGGCCTATAGAATATATGATGAAAACAGAGGGTTTCTACACCAGCTTTGCCTCTGAATCTCTTGTTTGTTACATAAAGATGACACCTAATAGCGCACCAGATGGTACATAGATCGCCATAGGACTTCATAGTTTACACGATATTGCCAATCCTCCGTAAGATCAGATCGCTTTACCGAATGGCAACAGTGAACCAAATGTTAATTACCCTTTTCATACATATAGATTGTGACAGGTAGAAACATCTTACTATGATGTCACATCGGCTTTGAGAGAGAATGCACAGAAACGGATTCGTAATCTTGAATACCCATTGGAATTACAGACAGGAAGATGGCTGCTGAAATCACAGTACAAAATGTACATACCCTGGTAGTGGCTTTGTTTTGTTGCTTCATTACTGAGGTATTGATTCAGCAAATACAATTCAATATTGTCTTACGATATTATCAGTCACCATTTCTGGATTGTAAAATAGGATATACCTCGTCTTTTTTATTGAAATTATTTCCCTTCTAGCAGTATCACAAAGAATGTGAACTCAACTTTTGAATGAGTCCTTATAT